ACCTGAACACTGAACTCACGCGATGGGGTTAGTACTCAGGCCCACATCCAAATTCCTGGGCCAGCTGCCTTTTTCCAAAAACAAGGGCCAATCCTGGGGACCCCAGCACCAGGAACCAGAAAGGGAGCTCTCAAATGGTGGCTAGGATGTGCCACTGAGTTACGAGATGGCAGGCCAGTCATGGAGAAGCAATGGGTACTAGGAGAAAGGAGGCAGGGTCGCCCTCTAGAAATCACATATAGCCCCAAAGCTCCAAACACCCCCTTAGCTATATTCCATACTTAACAATCCTGAACAGGACCCTGGCAATACAAATCATTGCGAGGGTTCATGGTTCAAGCTTCTGGCCATGTGATAGGATCTTCAAATGTAAGCCTGGCCTTGAGAAGCTTTTGTTAGAAGCTTAGGGTAGAGTGGCATGGGACACAATGAGAGAAATCGGGTTTGGTTGCAGCAAGACACTGCAGGGGCAGCTCGCAAAGCAGCAGCAACACCAGAGGTGCTCAGACCTCAAGAGAGATGGGAGGGTCCCCCTGAATGCTCGCCGTTGATGTGAAAGAGGGGAGTCCACACAAACAGAAAAGCACAATAGAGCTCCATCTCATGTGGTTCAGGTTCTTATATGAAATAGCTGCAGCTCAACCCCCTGGGCCAGGTTCTCAGCCAACAAAGTTCTGGGGAATGTGCATCATCGGATCATGTGTTCAGGTCGGAAGGTTCCCCAGAAGACACCTGCAGCCTCAGGTGAAGATGACCACCCCATCAATGTGCTTCTAGCATGGGGTCGCTGGCCAGGAAGACCCGCCCAGGACCTAGCCTGCTCCAGATCCTGAGGACAGATGCCACAAGGGGACAAGGTGATGCCAGGACCCTCTATGATAGAAGGACCTGCCAGGTGTTCTGAGGAGAGGGAGAATGGTCATCTGAAAGCCAAGCGTATTCACAAGGAAACTCAAAACAAGGCACTTGAAGAATCACCAGGAATGGGAGAAGAGTCAGAGGAGCAAATAAAGAATTGCGGAGGCTACTCTAGTGCTGTCTGTTTACAGGGCACAGGGCAGGCAGGAAGTAGGTCTTGCCAACACCCCATGATACCCCATGCCAGTGTGTGGAGGTAGGGGCCCTGGGGTTCAGGGACTGGCTCAGAAGGCCTAGGCTGGGAATCCCAACTTTTGGGCAGGACATTCTTCAACCCCAAGGCTGCCATGTAGATCTATTGCCAACTCTACATGCCCCAGTGCCTGGAACCGAGGGGCATCCTGATGTTGGAGGAATGGGGTTCGCATGGAGAGACACAAACGCCTTCCTGGGCATGAGCTGCTGGGCAAAGCCAGGAAGTAACTTCCCAAGAGCGGCTTGGAGGTGAGTCACCCTCAACCCCTCCAAAAAGCAGGCTGTCTGCATGTTTGAGGGAGGTTGTGAATATGTCAGGATATGGTTTAAGGGACCTGGCATCTTAGCCTCGCCTTTGGCAGTCCTTCAACAGAGAATTGGTAGTGCAAAAATTTCAGGGGACTGCAAACATTTTCACAAAAGATAAGAGATAGAAAAATGTTGGCTCACCAGGACTCCTCTTAGGAAGAGGATCGTATATTTTTGTGAGGGGGTGCTGCTTAGGGTGAAATCAAGAGAGACCCTCTTTCCCACACCAGCCCCGGAGGCCCGCACAAGACAAGACGGAGTGTTTGGTGCTGAGCAGAGAGGGTGGGCGGGTGAGAGAGGAAATGAGGTGGCGTTCGAAGGGTGGTACAATGGCCCTCTCCCTGTCATGCGCCCTCCTGAATTGTGCGTGATGTTACCAACCCTACAGGATGCTGGATGCCCAAGGAATTCCTGAGAAAGGGCTTCAAGTCCAGTTGAATCAAAGTCCTAAATTTCAAATGTCTACAGCACAATTACTACAAGTGCCGAAGAAAAGGTAATTTCACCTAGGCAGGTGATAGAAAACAGAGTGAGCAAGTGGCTGCAAGATTAATTTAAAAATCTCTCTTGGTTTTTGAAAATCTTGGGATGGAAAAGTTCAGAATCATTAAAAACATGAACCAGAATGACCGTCACCTGGAAAGGGGCAGCGCTCTGGAGCATGGTGAAGTGGTGTTTGATAAGCCCTCGC